GCAAATGGCACTGAAGTAGATAAAGATGGAATTATTTCCTTAAACTTGGTAACAGCATTGCCAGATAGACATCTGCTGTAGTGGAATTGTTTCCCACATAGAGTATAATCCATTAATTTAAATTCAAAAGTTATTAGAAAATGGTCAGACAGAAGAGGGTTATGGGGAAAAACTATTAAGTGTTCAGTTTTGATGCCATATGTCAGAACCAGATCAAGAGTGTGATTAAAACAGTGAGTGGGTTTATTTAGTTTGAGAGAAGCCAACTGAGTCTAATAATGAACAGAATGCATTGTTGAGGCTGTCATTGTCGGCATCTACATGAATATTAAAGTCGCCTACTATGATTATTTTATCTGTACTAAGCACTAAATCAGACAGAAAGTCTGAGAATTCACTTAAAAACTCTGAATAAGGAGCAGGTGGATGGTATACAATAACAAACAGAACAGGCTTTTGAGTTTTCCAGTTTGGGTGTGAGAGACTCAGGGTGAGACTTTCAAATGAGTTATAACTATGTTTAGGTCTAGGGTTGATTAATAGGCTTGAGTCAAAGATCGCTGCCACGCCACCACCTCGGCCTGTGTTTCGAGGGATGTGACAGTTACTGTGACTAGGTGGAGTGGATTCATTTAGGCTGACATATTCTTCCTGCTGTAACCATGTTTCAGTAAGACACAATAAGTCAATGTGATGTTCACTTATCAAATCATTCACTAACAGAGATTTAGATGAGAGAGATCTGATATTTAATAGTCCACATTTGATTGTCCTATTACTTTCTACTATAAGAGGAGTCATCTTAATTTTAATTAGGTTCTTATGAATAACTCCTCTGGAGTTGATTCTTGATTTATATAATTTAGGTGGGCGGGGGGCAGACACAGTCTCTATGGGGTACTGGGAGCGTTGGGTGGGTAGCAGCTGCAAAGAGACAGCAGAGAGGTGTGTAAGACTACGACTCTGCATCCTGGACTCAACTCTGGGTTGTCATAATTTAGATTGTAAAACAAACTTGTCCAGATTTCTAGATATGAGAGCCGCACCACCCAAAGTGGGATGGATGCCATCTCTGCTAATCAGACCAGGTTTTCCCCCAAATGTTTTCCAGTTATCTATGAAGCCCACGTTATTTTCTGGGCACCACCTAGACATTATAGCAACAAACCAGTTTTTCACACATGTATGCTTAGCAAAAATAATAAAGGATGTTGTTGCTTAGAGTGTCTCTCTAAACGTTTTCTTATATTGTTTCTCAGGAAGAGAAAGCATCTCTCCTCCTGCACCGCACTCAGGAGGAAAGAAGAAAAAGAGAGGTAAATAAGTTGCAATTCTCATTTTGACAAGCGCCTCATAAAACCAAGTTTTAATATCACTGCATGTCTGTTTTGTGTGATTGTTTGAAGGATCCATCGTTTCTTTAAATACAGATTTGTGTTGTTAAGTTGTACAGCGTAGTACCGAATATTATATCAATTTTAGCACATGCATATGGCCCAAAAGAGCAAAGAGTCTGAAGATAGTAAGCTCTTAGCCTATTTTACTGTCATGGTAACAAATATTTTGGCTTCATCATTAGTAAGCTATGTTTTTTGTTACTCAGGATGAAAGAAGACGTCTGAAGAATGCTGTTATTATTCAGTCCTACATACGTGGCTACCAGGACTTGAAACAACAGGTCAGTCTCCAAGCAATAACTAAACTAAACTTTTTTTCTGATTTCATGCTGTTAAGTTACCTTCAAAATTAGAGATGCAATTTTGCATCATAAGTGTCAGTTGTATCATTAGCTTGTCACTGTTGAGTCAAACAGTAAAAGCAGGAATAAGAAAAATGGCAGTCAGTTATCTCCGTTGCGGACAGTCTCATCCACCGTGTGGGAGTAAGTCCCAGAACCTCCCAGGAAAGTCTGTTGTGTGGCACCTTCTCCACCCTTCTTCTGGTGCACTTAGTCACCGAGGGTCCGTTATCACCCACAGTGTACTTGACGGTACCACATTCAAAACCAAAGGCAGCCTGGCACTTTTTCTTGGGAGGTTTCTGGACTGTCTCAAACTAGGTACAGGTTAATGTAAATAACTAACATAAGGGGCTTTGTGTGCACTTCCACTGACCTTGTGTGTCAACAAAGGGTGCTGCATGTCTCGTGGTCTAGCAGATACCTTTGGGTGACTTAGCTAGTAGTTACAATCAGTGGACCAGAAATTTGAATTGAGCAGCTCTTTGAATGTGCATCTGTGATTTTGGCATAGGGTGCCTCAACATCAAATCAGGAAGTTGATAATTAATTTTACTGTACATTTCTGGTGCTTGTCATATTATTCAAACAAACGATTTGCAACATGTGACCTTAAAACGTTTTCTTTCAGTATGCCATCCAGAGAGCCAGGTTTGATGAGTGTGCCAGCCAGATGCAGGCAGGGGGAGCTCAGCATGGCTTGGATGGTCCGAGTCTTTGCCTCTTATCAAGGCAACTCATATTTTTTTACAGACAGAATGTGGATGCACATAGATTGGTGAGAATGCAACATGTCTTTGATGATTTTCAGTTACAAGTGCAATCACGGTTTCAGAAATGCAGTTATAGTCAGAAGCCTTACGTATGTCTTACAAATTGTTTCTCTTTGTGTGTTTCTAAAGACGTGGTTGTGCCAAAATATGGTGAAACACAACAGTCAGTTTGTGAAGCTGTTAGTGGGCCCGCAGAAGCAGACATGTATGTTTCAGATCAAGAGGATTTTAGGCTTTTGCTGCAGGTACAGTACTTGATGCTAGTAATGAATTGATGTTTTTGAATGGTAGATGTCTGAAGACACAGCATGATGGTTGAACATTTGAACACATTTTCACTATTTGACTTATCTCTTTATCTCACAGACTCCTGCAGAACTGCAAGGATGAAAGTTTAAATGTGGCGGTTCCTATGCGGATGCTAGAAATCTTTTCTTCAGAGAGAACCTATCTTCTAGTTATTTCAGATGCTAACTATGTTGCTTTGTTACTCGAGCAGATTTTGCACTATGTAGTACAGAAAGGTATGTTTTTATTTACCTTGTGCATTAAGAAGCATTGATATTAAATATCTAAAATGTAATTATTGTAAACATTGATCTATCCTACCGTTTACTGCAGCACATTCACACGAAAACCCTCTAAGGCCTAATTATGAAGCATTAACAGGTGTATAGAGCTGCTGAATATGTGGCAGTTGATCTGAGTACATTTATCATTACTTGGGCAGCTCCTGCTCTGCTAACCACCTGAGACTATAGAGTACTGTGCTCAAGTACTTCTCATAATATTTACATTTTCCCAGAAGTACGATGCATTTCAACATCACTGTTTAAGATTGTTCATACTTGTCAACACAGAGCATCTTATTTAATTTTCAGCACTATGTCAACTGCAACCAGACCTCTTGAAGCCTAATTAACCATGTAAACTGGCTAGCCCTATTTCTACAGCAAAAAATATGAAGCATAGGAGAGTACTGTTTTCAGGCCTTGTTGCAGGTTATCCTTGCTTCTCTTTTCACATTTGCAGTGTACTTAAAGAGTTTAGCTGTTTTATTTACATTTAGAAATAGCTGAGAAATATATCAATTTAACACTTATTACTGCAAACAGGATTTTTGCTTTTTATGTTTATATCATTATTTTGTAGTATGTATGTGGAAGATGTGAGCCGGATTGTTAACGTTGCTTTTGTTTCTCATTTCCATTTATGTCTTCTGCTCAGGATACTACAGGTCGCTGTATATTCTTGTGAATTACAGACTCCCTTCCAGTCTGGAGTACAGCGATGCTCCTTCTGTCCCTCTGGCAAGCACACTGTTGGAGCACATCCTCAAGCCTCTGCACTTTACTTATTCCTCCTGCATGACAGGCGCAAGGTACAGCAGGAGAGTAAAATGATTATTTGAGATTGGTACACAGTATAGGTTGATAAGGATTTGTTCATCTTTAAATTATTGTCTTCAGACCTCCAAAATTGCAGTTTTTAGAGTACAGGGGGAAAATGGCATAATAGCAGGAAAGGAAAGACTTTGTCCCCAGTGAATTCTTGTAAAATCATCCATTAACCCAATCAGACAAGTTACAACAGTTTGTGTCCCCTCTAAGCAGTGGTGAAGCAATAATTGCTTCAGAGACCAATTTACAACAAGCCATAAAAGGCCCCTTAGTCGCGCTCGCACACAAGAGTGCAGAATATCACGCTGTTTGCCCTCAATTTGAGACGTTCTTAATAACAAACAAGAAGAGGACTGTTTTTCTTCTTTGAAGAAAAGCAAGGCGGGAGTGAGAGAAACTTGTGTACACACCGATTGTAACAGCTAATTATCTGACTTGGCTCACCAGATGTGTGTGACTAAGGCACACAAAGCAGCCCTGAGAAAGAACAGGGTGATGTTAGAACTCCCCACGCTCTCAGCTAAAATCTATGTGAACATACGGTAATTAAAGGAAGTATTTTTGTTCATTAATGCTACACCAGTATTTTAATCTACTACATTTACTACTGTATAGTATTTGTCTAATCTTGTCACACAGCATAGTACTAACCACTATACACACGTCAGGTAAAAGGGTGTGTGTCCAGTGGTTTCATGAGCTGTGGCATTGCAGCCAAAGTTTAGCGTTTGTATTTGTTTTGGCCATTCTTGTTTGGTTCTCAACAGAAGAGCTCTCAACATATTGCCAAAAGTTTGTTTGAAATGCTCTCTACCACCATCACCCATAGGATTTTAGGCGTCATATAGGAATTGTCAACCCTTGAAAGCTGTAGAAGTTTAGAGACCAGTTTACTCTCAAAACAGAACAATTGTTCTTGTCCTCTGCTGACCAGAAATCAGTCCAGATGAGCTTCACAGGAGCCAATGTTTGTATGCTCTCTAGTGGTGCACGTGCTGCAGGTATCTTAGCCGGGACACAACTTTGAGAGTATCAGATTTAACATCTCTTTTTATAGTTGGCCAGAAAAAGTGGTGTCTACTCAGATGAAGAATCCTGATTATGACCCTTCCAAGGCCTTATCTTTGAGTTATGTGGGTTACACTAACTGAAGCTTTTTACTCTACTCACCAGATCCCTAGTCTCTCTGTGCAGGATTCACCAGATCCCTAGTCTCTCTGTGCAGGATTCACCAGATCCCTAGTCTCTCTGTGCAGGATTATGTCATGTCCTCAGTTTCTCCTTGTGCTTCAATGGGGCAAGAGGCCCTGCACAGTGGTTTCACGTTGAGGAACGTGTTTTGCGGCTGACAGAGGGCAGGATGCTTAAGATCACAGGGTTCTGGAACTAATGGTTTTCCAACTCTTGTAAAGCAAGTGATTGTGAGGTGTCCAGCCCCACAGGTGTTGTTAGGCTGTTAAGCATGGTGAACAGAATGGACACCTTGGCTCTCTATACTGCAGATTTGCACAAGAGATGTCATTTCTGAGGGCTCAACTTTGTGCAGTGGAACCATGCAATCTGGTATGCATATCATCCACATCCACAGTCGGCAGCGGAGCTGGAGCTGTCTGAGTAGATGTGGCTGGAGGATGATAGACCGGGACTGACAAGTGTGAGGATTGCCTGGAGGGCAATGGCATAGAGCATACATATAGTTTGTGCAAAACACATAGCAGGATATGTCTGTAAACAAAAACTGTGTACATAAAATGATTTGGTGAAGTTCAGTCACTCATCATTTGTTACATTTGCTTATCTGTCATCTTTCAGGCAGTCTGTTTTTGCAGCCTTTACTAAGGAGTTCATCTCTGCACCGTTTACCGAGCAGATCTTTCACTTCTTTATCCCGGCGCTGTCCGACCTCAGCTTCTCATTCCCATTCGAAGCCTTCCTCAGCTCCCTCCAGGCCATCATCAGCTCCTCTTCAGCAGCACAGAGCCAGGCACCATGGCTGTTTTATTTTGTCCTCTCTGTAGGAGAGAACTGCTTAGGTGAGTGACAGTTTGGAAGAGTGACCACCTCAGAAAGAATTCAGAGCCCTTTAGTTTTTGGACACTTGTTACAGATTGAATTTTAAATGGATACAGTTGCCATTTCTGCCCATCAATCTACACTCAATAACCAATAAAGACAAGGTGAAGATGTTTTAGAAACTATTGCAAATTTATCAGAAAGTAAATTTAAAGGAGTATGCAGACCTTTTGTTATGGCAATCCAGATTGTGGTCAGATGCATCCTGTTTGCCTTGATTGTCTTTGAGATGTGTCTAGATGGAGACACACTCCACTAGTGGGAGTGCATTGGAGTCCACCTGTGGCGAACTGAATTGATTGGATATAGTTTAGAAAGGCACACATCTGTGCAGTTAAGTTTCCACAGTACAGCCTGCAGGCCAGGCAGTGTTAATTTTGTTGTATGAATTTGATTTAATCTGTCTTTTGATGAAAATATGTAGTTTCAGTCAAATTTTACTCTTTTGATTTAGTTAGTTTGAGTGTAGTTTTAGTCAGTGGCATGCCCCATCTAATGTGCTGATGCTTGAGAGGATCTGCCAGGAAGAATGGGATAAACTCCCCAAATCCAGGTGTGTAAAGCTTATAGAGTCTTATCCAAGAAGTCTCAAAGCTGTACTTGCCACCAGAGGGGCTTCTACAAGGTACTGAAATAAGGGCCTGAATGCTTTTGGAAATGAAAGATTTCAGTTTTTGATTTTTTGAATAAATTTCCACAAATACTTTTTCCACTTTGTCATTATGGTTTATTGAGTTTAAATTAAAAATGGCAGTTTTATTTAAAATTAAATGTACAAGTGTGCATAAAGAGGAGTCAGAACACTTTAGAAACTACTGTATATGATAACTAATTAAATATGTTTCATTTGTAGCATAAGCTCTGAAGGAGACTGCTCTATATACGGGTGAGATATGGCAGTTTGTGCAACAGTAATGATGCTGGAAGTGTTTTGACAGGCTCACTGTCAGAGGAGGGTCTCCTGCTGTACCTGCGGGCCCTACGGACGCTGCTGCCGCTGCTGCTGGAACCAGCAGCGACTCAGAAGATGAGGATGACGCTGGCATTCATCCTCCTCCCATGCAGGTTCACTACAAACTCGTGAACAAATGCTATATACACAGAAATTGGTAATGAATTATAGCAACCTTAGAGTGATATATCACTCTTATTGAAGTGTCAGGTGGTAATTAGTTATAAAATCTTTAGCGTTTGCATCCCATTTTTTCTTTATTATTACACATATCATACAACATATAAAAGTAATACATACTCAATACCTACTCATCAATTATTTTTACTTATTTATTTTGCGGAATTACATCTGCACTGACAGGACGACAGCTGCATCTCTGTGCAGCTGATCACAGAGGAGTGCGTCCACAAGCTGGATACCAAGCAGCAGACTAATGCCCTGCTCAACCTGGTGTGGAGAGATTCAGCCAACGAGGAGGTTTTCACCATGATGGCATCAATCTGTCACACACTCATGGTGCAGCATCGCCTCATGGTGCCAAAAGTCAGGTACAATACAAAAACCCAATGACTCGTTTATTAGTGAGAACCTAAAATGCTTTACCAAACAGCACACGATTTCTTTGTTTTACATGGAAAGAAACCTTTATGGTTTTTGGTATTTATATTTAGTTACCATGACAAAGGTGTACCTCATAGTGACTCCAAAGATAACATGGAAATAAACAAAAATGTTTTCATTTATTTTTATATAAGCATTTTGCAGGTCTTGTCAAGATGAGCATTGCATTCAGAGGACTTGTTTACATGCCTACCTGACTGAGAGGAGAACTGTCTATGTGTTTCTGCGCTGTAGGCAGTAGTGTAAATAACGATGAAGTGCAGCGGGTAGACGGTTATCAGTGGTCCTCACCCACTGGCATTTACAGCCGGCAGAGGAAGCAGGGATGTCAGGGAAGCTGTCATTTCTGGATGAGGGCAATTACCCCTTCTCAGGTTGATTACATTAGGGCCAGGATGTCAGAGATAGTGTGGAGGGGGGTGCATTGACTAATGGGAGGTGATCCAGATTGAGCTTTATGCTCTAGTTAATTATTAGTTGAGCCAGTTGCGGCCATTTGATTTATTTGTACAGTACAGTATCGGGTTACCAAATATCATGTAATCTGTATTTGCTTGGTGTTGGTACCACTTCTGAGGCCCTGCCTTACCTAAAACCACTCGGTGATTAAAAAAAAAACAACTTTACTCTGTAATAAAAATTGAACACATACATCTGGAGTCTTATAGTCAGCTAGTAACTTTGCACGGTTGCATACAAATCTATGACCAGAATTCAGAACAATTTCAGAATCCCCCCCACCCCCTTCTTTTTTTTATGGCTTCCTCCTTCCCTTCACTTTTACCATAAATCTTACCCTTTCTCTTCCATCATTATTGGATATCTGTACAAAATAATTAGCTCACTGAGAAAGATTAATCACTGCAGGAGTGGATGGGATAGCTTTACAAGAGGCTAAGGGGAGCAAATTGCATCCCGGCCTTGATTTACTGCCCTTACAGCAAAAACTGAGAGACTGGCTGATCGTCCAGCCAGCCCGGCACACTGCCTTATTAATAAATATGGAAGTTGTCTTATGATTCTCCACTCTGCATTTTTCTTTTTTTCAGAGGACAACTTAAAAGTGGTACAATGATACTGGCCAAAAATGGACTTTACTTGAGTTGCTCATTGTCTTTAGTCTGTTTTTTGGGGTATGCTGTAATTTAATTTTGATTGTTTCACCCAGTGCTCTGTTGCTAACGGGGCTCACTCTGATGAAAGTGAGTGCAGATGAGATTAGGTGCTTCATTTACTTTGAAGGTGTGCTGTGAGTTTTGTGTTGTCATGAGAAAATAATGTTGGTCATGTTAATACATGCAAAGCAAATTTGCATTTAGTTGTTAAGCCATTCAGTCTTTATGGTATCAGTTCTGCCCTGAGCACGACTGCTATTTTTTTCTTTCATTACTGCAAAATGAAATGATCTGGGTGTGATTCATCAGGCTGCTTTTCACATGCACACATGCACATGCAAACCCTTTTGATGCCTTGGCTTTGTTTATTAGTGGTTCATTCCATGATTGAAATGGGGGTTTGGGTCCTCACAGGCTGTAAATCACCATGTCAGCTGGCATTTAGTGCTTTGTTTCCCATTTCAATCAAACACCCACATCACTTGTTATGAGCCCACAGCACTCCGTGCTTCTCTCTTGAGCCTTGTAGTACTGACAGATGGTGTGTGTTTGGCACCAACCATTTTTCAAGGCATATTGAGAGTTGTGTGATGGTCTCCTCCTGAAGCTCATTTCCACTGTGGGAGTTGGGAATGGCTTTTTTTAGATTGACTGGTGGAACGGGAGTTTAAGCATTGACATTTAGGTGACAATATTCGGCAAATGTAGGATTTCCTTTTCCCGTTCTTTTTGCCTCTTAGCTCTTTTCCTTTGTTTAACTTTACTCTCCTCCACTGTGAATACATACTGCTGGCCCATTAAAGGCAAGTATGCTTATAGGTGTTAGTACTGTCACTCTTCAGACAAGGGCCTATTATATGCAGGGACACTTCATTTTGCCTTTTAGCTTACTTACCACATTATTGTCACATGTACTTATCCTCTGTGTGAAAAACCGTGCAATTTAGGAGTATACACAAACACACACATACACTTGAACAAAGAGCAGCTTCACACCTTGGTGCCACAGACCTTTGCTTGCAGAGTGACTATAGCAAGGTATGTGGACCCCCCTCAGTGTTATCATGTAATTCGCTGTGACTGTGGAAGCATGTTGGTGCTGTGGGGTCACAGTGAGGACCAGGCTTCCCCTCCTCCATCTTCCATTGTCTTGCTCCTCTGGCCATTAAGTTAAATGGAGCTCCACCAGGAAGCCAGAGGGCTGTTTATGACCTGAGCTGGGCACCCTTGCCAGCAACTAGTTTACTAATGGAAGATACCTCACCTAAATAAAGCTTTATGGCTCACTTAATCTCTTTTCAGCCCTCACAAGGTATTAAAGGGGAGAGAAAGACCAAGAAAATTCTCTGAGAAACATGTTGGTTAACAGTATCCTTTGTTGTTCCTCCTTCCTCTTGTTAACAATGTTAAAGTAATTTTACAGTGTATAATTTTACTTCACATTGATTGTGTCATCTACTTAAAATGGCTTTCTTCTGACTCAAATGTTTAACTTTAATATGTCTATCTGTGTGTTTGTTCTCTGCAGACTCTTGTACAGTTTAGCTTTCAATGCACGTTTCCTAAGGCATCTCTGGCACCTGATAACTTCCATGACAACGAAAATGATCACTGGGTGAGCAAGTACAATTCTGATTGTTAGCAGATGGTTTCATCCTTGTGTGAGCAGTCGTGTATATACAGCATTTTTCTGCTTATGTTCATATACTGTAGTATGTGACTTATTGTCAACCTTTCTGCGATTGCCCCCTCAGCTCCATGGTGCCGCTGCTACAGCTGATCTCACGAGGGTCTCCCCTGTCGTTTGAGGACTCAAACTGCATCATTCCCCTCTTCTATCTCTTCAGCTCTCTCTTCAGCCACTCACTTATCTCTGTGCATGACAGCGAGTTTTTTGGGCATGAAATGGAAGGTAGTAGACTTACTCATCTGTTAAACCAGATTTTAAAAAAATATAAGTTAATGATCATTGTTTAGCGCCCACAAGTTTTTTCTGTCATGATCCCTAATGTTCCTTATCATTGCCCTGGGTTGTATCTTGTTAAGGCCTTTGTTGGAAGTGGAATTGCCAGGCATCACTTATGTTTGATTAGGATGCACATCCATCCATCTTCTCCTACTTTTCTTATTTGGTGTTGGTAGCAAAATAATTTATTGTCATTGTCTATTACATGCTGACATGCTGTCTTGCCAGCATATAAATGTGAAAATCAATATCTGTAAAAGACAATGAATACCTTGTCTCACTCAACAGGTCAGACACAGTCCTCCATGATGCCCTTCACGCTGTCAGAGCTGGTGACTCTGTCTCGCTGTCTGAGAGATGCATGTCTGGGAATAATTAAGCTGGCCTACCCTGAGACCAAAACGGAGCACAGAGAGGAGTACATGGCTGCCTTCCGCAGCGTGGGTGTCAAGACAAACACTGAGGTTTAGCAGCGCATTCAGGCTGAGCAGCAACGCTGGGTACAGTAGTTGTTCAAAGTAAGATGTGTAACAGTACACTCATATTACAGCTGTATGTGCATTGAATTACGTTTTCCTCATTTGTCAAAAACAGATTTTGGTAGAGATTCCTTGCCATAAATTAAATTTTTTTTTTCTTGGCAACTTGGAGATTTGGTGAAATGGATCTGCTGCAGGCTAGTTGTGTTTGAAAACTGGAATTTTCAGCATTGAATTGGTGGCAGCAAAATATATTTTTTGTTTTGCTACATTTTACACTTTCAATTTCCTGTCTTCAAATATAGTAATGAGGAAAAGAGGGAGAAGGACCCTGGACAGTGGAAGTGTGTGTGCACGCATACTTAGTAATACACACAGAGGCAAAGTGCAGTAGATGATGTGCAAAATGAGCAGCGAGCAGCAGCAGAACCAGAGAACCCTACTGCTTCACCGACTTTGTTATTGTGGCAATATTTTGCTTTTATTGTTACATACAATGCCCGCAAATGTGTGGTAGGGTGGACTCGTGGACGGAGAGTAAATGAGTTAGTAGTACTTAAAAGAAGAAAAAAAGTAAGAAATAGCTGTTGAGTATTATCCAAAATTTATAAAATATTGTCCAAAATTAGAAAAGTTCCCAGACTTGGATGGATCTTATCCTGGAATGGATAGGAAAAGTCCAAAACAATCATGAATAAGAATCAGTTGAATTCAAATGACCAAATAATGTAAATATTTATGCAGTAGCTCCATATCTGACTTTGTCTGTACACACATATTTTTCATGAGGTCCCTTCATACGCTAATGCTAAACATTTTTCTTTTCTTGACAGGTCAGAATCATGATATGTAGCACCATAACATTAGGCTTAATTGTTGTGTAGCCTCTCTGTGCCTTGAAGCAGAATGACTTAATGCTGCCCTGGGTCAATGGAAATCAAGCATGTATGCCTGAACAGGCGTACACAAGGTGGAGCGCTGACATGGACCTCATCCACTGGTTATTTACCCAGAGGAAATGAGGCAGAAAACAGCATTAACATAATTCTTCTCAACTCTGTCTCTCATTCCACATCTCCCTTTCACTTCTCCTCTCTCCTCTGCTCCATGGCTGTTAGTCTTCAACAGAAGGATTTAAACATGAAAGGTGACAAATACGTGAAGTGCACATCAGGAATTTTCATAAAAGATCTGCTCAAAGGCCCCTTGTCAGCTGAAATGATCCATTAAAGAAGTGTGGAGCAGGGAAAATGCATTTTCCAAATTGAATGGTGGGATTTACAATCGGTTTAATGCCGCTGACCCCTAACACGCTAATGTTTGGTTCGTGTCATCAGCCATCCCTTCCCATCTTTTATCACCTCCATTTTCAAGCTATCTATTTAACTGAAAGAAGTTAATTGAATGAAAATGATCAACTAAGCTTGTATTAATATTGCTAATGGAACTTTATTCTTGCCCATGTTTGGAGAATGATGTCACACTGGAGTTTGGGAAAGGCCCATTAAGGCTTGTACTTAACCCAATGGGCTAATTAAGGAATGCTTATTCATTCCCAGAGTCAGGGGGTAGGCCTCCTCAGAACCCTTCACCAGGTGCCTTTTACAGCATTTTGCGCTTGCCGTTATTGCAGACTCTAGTTGCCTCGTGGTGGTTGGCCGAGAAGCATAGAAAAGAACAGAAGTTAGCACACAAAAAAAACATTTGAGTGAGGACAGACTATTAGTGTAGTGTATGTCGGTGGTCACTTGTGTGTTACAGAGTAACAACATTACATCCAAGGGAAACATCACATTAAACGTGAGCCTCCTGCCATCTAAGCAAGAGCCACGCGGGCACTTGCAGTGCTGTAAACCCTTGGTACTGTATCTTTTGCCTTCTCTGTCCAATGGCTGATGTCAGCAGCCCTCGCCAGTAATTAACAGGGCTGGACAATGAGGGATGGAGCAGGTCGTTTTTCTTTTATACCCCCCATAAATGGTGCACTAATGGCTGAATTCTCAAATTGCTTTTTTTTTCCTAAGTGAAGGCACCTCTTCATGTTGAACAGCTTATACACAGAAAAACCTCTTTATCAGTCTTGTGATCTCTATTCTGAGGTTTGCCTAAAATGTACATTTTGTTCTCTAACAGCGAAGTAAATTTGTGGGGATGCAGTTACCAGAGATGTTAATGTGATACATGTGTATGCGTGTTGATCTACTACCCAGGTCATCACTAACTTGGTTAAGATGGTGAAAGCTCGCGACATCAGACGACCCTTCTGTCCAGCAGGTCACTGGCTCTCTGACGAGGTCAACATTCGAGCAGATAAGGTACTTTTCCATCTTCACCAGTGTTTAGTTTTTGACGTGATCTTCATTGTTGGGTGTAATACTATGATAAATTTTAGCCTTACTGTGAAATGAAATGCATCTGAATAAAACACCTCGGAGTCTGGAGCTGGTTAAAGTGGGGGAACATTTACACAATTAAATCGTTTTCCTTTACTTTTCCCATTAAAATGTTGAAATTCTGACCGGCATAAACACTATTTACACTCACACTCTGCCCTAAAGATACCTGAGAAGAACACCTGTTTAGAGGAGGAGGTTGTTTATATCTTTTTTTGTCTTTTACTGTGTATACCTTAGTAATTTTTCATCAGATAAGAGGATAACTTCAAGAGGCAGAAGCAAGAGAGATGTTGTATAAAGTAGTAATAATGCTTTATCTAGACAGTAGTTTTTTAAACAAAATGTTAGTCTTTCAGCTACAAACAATAACAAAACTATTATAAGTTAATATGCAAAAACATTAGATAATGCAACAGTATAAGTAGGTAAATCTGCAGCTGATGAAACTGATTTTCAAAAATATGTTTTCAGCAACTTTTTATACAAGTTTGTAGCACCTACAATTAGATATATGGATAAATATAGGTTAAATGTTAAGAAGGCCTTGCTTATATTCCAAAGCCAATTTGACTACCTACCTTTTGCCTCTCCAGGTCACTCAGCTGTACGTCCCTTCTGCAAGACATGTGTGGAGGACAAGAAGGATGGGCCGCATCGGCCCACTTCAGTCAACACTTGATGGTAGTGTAATTTGTTTAATGATTCTGTGCTGTTGGTCAGTCTGGAATAAACTTTGTCCCGCCACTGTCCTGCTACATACAGAAAGCTGTTCTGATGATTATAATTACACACAATGTGCACACAAAGGTTCTCTGCCTAAATGCATTTGTGCAACAGATTTTTTTTCTTCAATTTTTGCAGTAGTTTAGCCCTCATAGACTTCAGCAGCGAAGAACAAGCTGTCCCTGGAAAATCAGTCCTGCTGGCACTAATTCAAAACAGGCCACAGATCTGTCCTTTAATGTATTCTGCAAGTTAATATGACCAAGTCTGTTAGGTCAAACTTATTATGGATTTTTGAAAAATCTGTACACAAAGTTTTTCAGAAATGTATTTCAAATTCTAAATTAGCCTACAAAAACAACAAAACAGTACAATTGTCCTTAGGGGAAGACAGCACTGTAGGAACACTACAATGCAACAGAATAGAGTGGTATAGGAAAACAGCAGATGTAACAGTTTGGCCTGCCCTTTAAAAAGTATGTGTTTGTCTTAGCATAGTTCGTTATTGTCATCGGCCAGAACAGCCAGACTCTGTACTTAATGTACCCCGCACAGCTACTCTATTGGCAGCGGATGAAAATTTAAAATCTCATAATGCTTGTGTCAGCTTGATACATTGCCCAGGAAATCATCCTAATTGCTGTTCAAAGTCACCTTCTCTCTGTTTGCGTCTCATGCTTCTGTTCTGTGGAGCTGTGCATTGATATAGCCCATAAGTAGAGTGAAGATCCATCTCCCTAGTTTCTATCTTTAGTAGAATGAGGGAAGAAGTTGGGTGCAAATTGAACATCTGTTGGTGTAGAACTAGTGAATGTTGTTACTGAAACAGTACATTTACTTTCTAGTGATTGTAATCTAAAGATGTTTAATGTAAAGATTTCCATCAAAATAATTCACAGGGGCGGTGGAAAACCTTAGCAAAAGTCATTAACCTTGCCCATTTTAACAAAGATATATCGCCATGTTGGCCCTTCATTCAGTCAATTAGGCAGAGAAAAATCCACTGACGCAAGCAGGGCCTCATCTGGCTCACTTTGAGCCATCCAGGTTTCTGTGAAGTATGGTGTGAAAAAAGCTGATAACAATGTGTGTATGATCTACCTAATGCCACTTAGAGGCTGTATGGGATAAATTCAATTAGTGTGAAAGTACCTGATGAACTCAGCCACATCTGGCCCATGTGTTATCTGGCTTTTTCTCATTTCCTTAAATGGACAAGCTTGTGGCTGATGAATGAGCAATGTATTGACCACTTCAAGGCCATATTTCTCCTCAAAGATGCAAACCTGATGGGACAATGTGGATCAGATTGACTAATTGAGCAGAATAATTGAGCTGCAGTGGATGCAAAGTGAGGAGGATGAAGAGCAGTTTAGCTATTGGGGGGGCTGTTTTTTTTTAAGGCTAAAGAGTCTAAACCCCGAGTTTAATACAAAGCAAACATCAGCTTAATGGATAAAGCCTGGCAGGTGGATGGACAGCTCACAGTTAGGTTAATTAAAAGAGTGTAATTAAAAGGCTGTAAGATTGAATATCTCTAATGGCTGGCATGTAAGCAGAGCTAAGCGCTGGGAAGGATGGTGATACTGCCAGAAGAGTATTAACACACAGATGACACCCGATTTCAGCTGAAGTCTCCCTGAGCAGAACCGTGAATCTCTGTCATATTTAGTTGACCTTTTTCTTTGTGGAACAGGAGATGAAAGAGTCTCTATATTGGGTCAAAATGTCACGTACTTATGAATTTATTGGATACTGCTAGTGCTGAAGAGTTGATCACAACATATGTGGGCTGAAAACATAAAGTCCAAAACAAGCAAGTGCTAACAAGTTGTATCATGTGTCTTTCTGCAGTCGGCTCAGAGCCTCCACAGCTGTCTGTGTCTGAAGAGAGACACCTGGCCATCCTCACAGAGCTCCCTTTCGTGGTTCCCTTTGAGGAGCGAGTCAAGGTACCACATGACAGTCTCACCTAGACATTTAGTGTTTTGTTCGCCATGTTAGCTTTGAATATTGTAGGGTTAATGTCAATATGAGGGTGCTATCAAATACAAGTGTATTATCAACCTTAAGTCATGTGCTGATGTGCAATTAAAAGCCTGTTTACGAAGTGTTACAGTTGTACGTTAATAGAAACCACACAACTGCCTGTTTTGACGTATCATTATGTGCACATCGACACACTATATTAAAGCCAGATGGCAGAGCTGAGAGGTAATGCCTTTTTTGTTTATTTTAATTTCGGAGTCTGAATTGGTCACCTGCTTTTACATGGTCTCATAAAAGGTGTTCAGTCATGAACACTTATGTTCTCATAAGTTCAAAATTAAAAGCAGTTGTAATGAGGCATAAAAGTTATTCTTGTGTAGCATTTCATACCGTTTTCCTTTGTTCTTTTTGTCTAATATTATCTGCAAAAAAGATGATCAAAGACAAAGGATGAACAAAATACAGTAAAACCTATTGGCAGAACTGAACTTTTTATAACTAAAATGATTACCACTCACTCTCCCACCACATGTCCATCTGTCTTGTAGATCTTCCAGAGGTTAATCTATGCTGACAAACGGGACGTGCAGGGGGATGGGCCGTTCCCCGATGGCATCAATGTCACCATCAGACGCAACTACATCTATGAAGATGCCTACGATAAGCTCTGTCCAGAAAATGGTATGACTTGCATCACTACAACTTAAATGAAGGAATGATTTTATGTGTGTCATGTTGTCTGGAATGTGCTGTAGTGGTTGTGTTATTTCCAGCATTTATTTTTAAGATCACAAACACACAAGGAGAAAAGTGTGCTGTAGTAAATGTTGACACTGCTACTAAAACTCTTGCTCCTAAAAAATCTTAATACTGAGGACCATTGTTCAGTTGGAATTAAAGATGAAGGTTAGCTCTCTCCTTGTGCAGAGTATTGAATTTCAGTAAAGCATAATTGTGGTTCCGATTATTATAATGGATAACATAAAAGTGGAATCAATTATTTTAAGTCACCTCTTGTGTGTTTGAATTTGAAAGGGCACTTCAGTCGGGGGAATCTGATTAAAAAGAGTAGTAGGAGACCTGGGCTGAAGACATGATCTATAACATTTATGTATCTATAAGTTATAGCTGCCTTGATTTATCACCATACATTAATTATTCTGAAAGATAACCTTTTATAGAATTTGATTAGAATATTCTGCAGGTCACAAGAGCATTTTCTTGTTGGGGAAAACATTATAATACAGTAGATCTGAGTGACATAGGAG